TTATCTCCCCTTCTTCTTTTTTATGTTTGTTACTCTCTTGTAACACCTCTAATCTTCTGGCGTTCATATGACCTTATGCAGTTGCGAGCGCCGTAAAACCACTAAAACTAAAAGAGAAAAATGAATCCCTAGAAGCTCAGTGCATTCATGACTTCCAGAATTCTGGAAACATGCAGACTATCGCTACAGCACATGCTTAAGTCATCCGTAGAGTGAAACGAGAACAGAGCTGCCTACCCTGACGTCGCTGGTCTTCTCACTCCGCTCTCGGATGTTGTCCAAGGCCTGAGACAGCTGCTCGTTCTCTCTCTCCAGTTCCCGCACTTGTCGCTCAGAATTTTCCTGTTGGGAGTAACTCAAGACTTCAAATCCAGACTTCAGACAAATAGAATTCCAACATAAATACTTTTTCTTTGTCCTAAAGTAAATAGCAGGGATGCCACTGAGATTTTGTGAAAATAATTTTAAAAACTACAAAGTTACATAGCACAAACAAAATGACAGCAATTAATTGACGCAGCTAAAATATGAGATTGAACAGAAAACAAACACCACCATTAAAAGTGATTGTTCTTTTTAATGAAAATAACGCAAATAACGATTACCCCCCCCTGGAAAAACAACATTCCTGAAACATCCTGGCAGTACTGAATGGAGCATTAAACTCACATCACACCCAACAGGAAAGTACTCGTACTAAATATAAAATGACAGGTATTATAAAATAGAATCAATTAATTTTGCAATTATTTCTGAGAGACTGACCATAATCAGCAATCTATAACTGTACTTCAATTTAATTGCTCAAGGTGGGAGAATATTCAACTCAAAACATATGACATGAGGACGCATGTACTGAGAACTCAGCCACTTTTAACTCCAAAAAGCAACAAAATATTTGCCTCATTAGCTGCAGTACATTAAGAATCTTAAAGACACTAAAATATCAGCTCAGAATGTTCATTTCTAAACTACATTTCCATTTGCAACGTACAAAACGACAAACACAACAAGACACTCCCCCTTCAAAATGACCTCGAGAGCCTCGTGGAATATTAATTTAAATTATTCATTGACATAAACCTGCAAAAAGCAGAGACATTGAAAAAATATTTTTAAAAAGCAACAAAAAAAACAAAACAAACCCAAACCCAACCAAACTTTTGCTTTACCTTCACAGCATCAAGAGCATTTGTTAGTCTCTCTTTCTCCTCTTTTACAGAAGCGAAATCACTCTCCATCTGAATGACTTGCTCAGATGCTTCACATGCACTCGACTGGAGTTTCTCAACCTGCACAAGGAAAAGCCAGCATTAACCAAGGGTATATGCCACTGGAATGATATCCTTTGGCTACTTTTACCTGAAAAGTTGCAACCACAAACACGTGGCACTAACAATATGAAAGTAAGACATCAACTATCAAGCAGTACATGAACAAAAAATATTCTGCAGCATCTAATGTTGGTGGATTTTCATGGGGAAAAGTTATTGCTTAAGTTTTTTTTAAAGTTTTAGTAAGAGCTTTACGGCACTTGCAACACAAATAGGCCATGAAAGTGCCAAAGGTTAGAGGTGTTAATAGACAGTAACATACAAAGAAAATAGAGATAAGCATGATAGATGTTGGATAGGAAAGAAGGAGCAAACCACACCAGAGCACCTGCCTATCACCCCTGATCCATGTAAAAAAAAAAGTTGAAAATTTAACAGGCTTACTTGTAGCAAACAAGATAAATGGTTTAAGGTACAACACAGAAACAAATGCAATGACAAATGAGAAAAACACAGGAAAGCAAATGATACCCACCATTATAAATATAAGCATTTAATGTGTCCATAGACACAACTGAGATTTTTTAGGAGGAAGGAATCTTTGACCCTACCTGTAAGGGCCAAATGGGGTAGTGGGATACAACGTCACAGCAGACAGACAGGGATGTTTAATAGAAGAACTTCCCCTATCTGGTATCTAACTCACATTCTCTGCACGTAACTCACATTCTCTGCACGTAACTCACATTCTCTGCATGCAACAGCAAAGAGCCTTACACTACAGACACTGAAGCTACTGATAAAAAAAATATTTTAAAAACTAGCACAACTCAAAATCGTGAAAAACATACTCTCTTGGCTAGCCTCTGGTTCTCTTTCTCCAGCTCTAGACTGATTTCTGCACTCTGTATGAGGGCAGACTCCTTCATCTCTGCTAATTTGGCAGACAGGCGCTGATTCTCCAGTTCTAGCCGCAAGACTCGTGCATGTGACGTCTCAGAAAGTTGCTCAGATAATGAGCCGCCCATATCTGAAAACATGCAAATGACACGCTTTGAAATCAACTGAATTAATTCACTGGAGTACTTAATCTGATGTAGACGAAAAATAAATTTCATGTTGTTAAATACCAACTTAGCAAAGCAAAGATTCAAAGATTCCCCTTTGTATTAAACTATTCTCACACAATTTAACAAGTCTTAATTGTAACTAGTCTTAGAAAGTTCAAATATTGTCTTACTATCTGTTTGAATGAAAGAACAAGAACGATAGATATAAATCATGATACCACTAAAACAAAGAAAAGACTTGAATAAAAACCAGAGCAAAAGGTCAAAAACAAAAGTAAATGCCTGTATCAATGTCATTTGCCATTACAGTTTAAATTTGAGACTTATGACAGTCCCTTTCACAATTAGACCAGCCAATATGAATACACAGTACAACTCAGACAGCAAAAGATTCACAGATCAAGCAAAGAGGATGAACAAGAATTCTTTTAAATCAATTTAACAAATTCAGCAGGAAATTCAACATTTTATTGACCGGCCTTATTTCCTCAAAATAACAAAAGCAAAATCATTCACGTACAGTGTGATGTGAAACGAAACTGCACTCTTAACAAAGTTGCCATGTATGATAAGGCTCTAGGATTCAACTGTAAGGTGTTTGGGTTCAATGCCATTAGGGGTAAGACATTGTGTCATTGGTTTAGGCATTTAACATGGATTTTCCTCACTTTACCCTGGTGAGAATGGGTATCCAGCTATAGAGAATGAAAGATCTTGTCAGTTTGAGTTTGAGCACAAAATCAGCTGCTTGCACTGTATACTGCCCGAGAAGCTGAGAATGTTTCTGAGTCGTGTTCTCAGGTATGCTGGGGTAACAATGCTTGTAAAGCGCATAGAGCATGCTGCAGAGCCTGGATGTGCAAAATATAAATGTAATCATTATTAATAATAGGCCTGGTTGATGAGGAAGCATTCCTTGGCATAAAACAGCAACAAAGTTCAACACAAAAGAAAAGACCAGTCGACTAACTCACTTCCAATCCGTGACCGTGCAGCAGATAGTTCCGTCTCTAAACTAGCACTCTCATTCATGCTGGACTTTTTCTCAAACTCCAGCCTGGCATTCTCACTTGTTAAATAATCAATCTTTTCTCGATCAGAGTTGCGCTCCTGAAGATGGGACATAAAGCAAGCACATAATAAAAAATCATTCTATTATACAATAGAACAATGCCATAAATAAGAGATGGGTGTTATTTGTGTGTGTGCACGTGTGCTTTTAAATGTATGTGTGTTGGCATGTAAATGTGCAAGTATGTATTTACTATGTCGTAGCAAATTTTTCTTGGTAAAAATTAATCAAATGTTATCACGTCTTACCGTATGTTAATATGTTTATCATGTTACGTCGAAGCAAACAGTTATACGTACTTATTATCACATAAATAAAGATGAACACAAATCTCTCGAATGTCAAATACTGTACTTCTGTTAGGTTGTAAAATTAAAAAGACTAGTTTTTTATTTGCACTACCCAAACTCACAATGAAATCACTTCTGTTACATAGGCTTAGAAAATTTGGAAACTGACATTTTATTTCAATTCCACAATACTGAAAAATGACTGAAGATACTAGACTGGAACGTATAGTGTGTCAAGACTGGCAAGGCTCATTAATGTTTTCAAAAGTATTAGTAAATTCCACACAGGAGAACAAATAAAAGAAGCCTGGCGTAGACAAGTTTAACTAGTTCTGTACTGACCCTTGTGTACTCTTCTATCTGCTGCCGATATTTCCCCAATTCTGTTTCCAGCTCCACAACTGTCTCTATCCTCTTTCGACTGTTAGTCAGCTGATCTTCCAGCATTGCTTTGGTTTCCTCAAGGATAGAATTGTCTTCCTTCAGCTCCTGAAAAGACAAAATATAATCTAGTCAGTATAACCGTAATACACAAGTACAAATTATGAGGCGAGCAGAGAAAAAATAAACAACTCAGCCATCATCCAGAAGTAAAGGTGTAGGGAAATAAGTGAGCAAAATTTGGAGGAGAAAATGATTACTTTTCAAGTTTCAAATTCAAGTTAAGTGAACTGACAAAATGATGAAATTTCAAGGGAATTTTTCAGTTGTCAACAGTAACAAATGAAAAAAAGTCTCACTGCTAAAACATTGTCTTACTGTAAACAACTGTTTCTAACTTCTTCACACTTAATGTAATAATGATGATATTGCTCTTGAAAGGCCCTATACTTTGACAAAAACACTAAAACCATACTTCAGTTTCTAGAACTAGAGAGAATTTATCTTTAATTTTTTAAAGATTAAATATCGTAGGAAAAAAAGTACTGACTTATGTGAGCAACCTCTTACCTCTGTGCGAGCTTTGTAAAACTCCAATTCATTCAGTCTCTCTTTGTACTTTAGAATTTCCTTTTCGTACATGTCCACTTTTGAAGACTGGCAAAAGACACCCACAAATAAAAACATTTGTAAAAAAAAACATTTTAAGAACCACTCAAAAGCAAGGTAACATTTTCACAATGAAATACCGGTAACAAAAACAATGGACACACTGATGGCAGTAGTTACAATCCGTGCAAGTCTGAGATTAAGTCAAATTTTACTTCTATTGGAATGGATTGCTTTGGGACGCTCTTCTTTGCATTATGTCTAGTATTGCATGTCCATTAACAAAAATTGTGAAATATGGCATTGGGGGGCCAAAGGTTTTCTGGCACGCTTGACACTTGTGCCCCATTTTCCTTGAAAGTAATAATTTTTGTTTTTTGCAACATGTAGCGTACTTATGTTGTGGAAAACATTCAAACATATTATCTCCACAACATTCTGTACCACTCTACTCCCAGTTCTCTCATATGTCACAAATATGTAATCATTAACACTCGCACTTGTATACTTGTAAAGCCAACATTCTAATTGAAACAATCTTCCCTACCAAATATTCATTTCAATACTTAGTCTCCATTGCCATGAAGCTATGCCAATCTGTTATGAGGGTATATAAACACACATGTGAAGAGTGCTGACAAAACAAGTCATTTCTAGGATTTTAGCCCAAAGAACATTTATATAAAAGTCACATTCATAAAATGAAATGATAGATTGTTAGACTTAAAAATGACATCGGTTAAACATCTACACATTTGAATCTTCTTTGCGTTGATTTTTGGCCCATATTTCCAACCCGGAATTGCGAGAAGTAACTCATTTTGTAAGTAATTCTCACATATACATTTTTCAAGGCTACTATATATGAATGATTGAAAAATGCCAACAAGGGTAGACTTACCTTTTCTTTGAGTATGTCTAGTTCATCTTTCAAAGATCTGGTTGTTCTGGCTTCTTGCAACAATGATGCATTCTGAAACAGGAAAAAAAATGTAGCCATTTCTCATACCGTCGTCATTTTGGAGAACATTCAGATATCATAAACTACTTTCAAATTCAAAGCAAAGAAACATTCACCCTCCCCCCATCCCCTAGACACACACACACGCACATACACACACACGCGCGCCCACGCACAAACACACATATTCTAAAAGTTCTTCAAACAAGTCAATACTAATTCCCCTTTTTAAATATACAAGCACAAATGTCTGCCTGACAACTTTCTCAAGCAAAATTATGTCCATGCAGAGAGAATAGAGAGGGCGAAAGAAATAAGCTATTGATTTCATGTCAATGGAAATTGTTTGATAAAGAACATTTCAGTTTGTGTAGGACATTTCAACAGATAATCATTACTGCACAAAGTACGTGAACAGAAGGAAATAAACTGGTTTAAGGCTTTATTTTGTGTGTGTGTGTGTGTGTGTGTGTTTGTGTGTGTGTGTGTGAGTGTGTATGTGTGCGTGCGTGCGTGCGTGCGTGTGTGTGTGTAG